ATTTCTGATAGATACTTACCTCCTCTCACAAAATAGCTTTTCTCGTCTAGCACTGCCCTCTATTAGTGTAAATTTTTAATGCATGCCACAAGCCTTCTACTTCCCACTTCTGCATATTGATATGCAACTGATCATGCAAAAGCTCTCCTATAATAGGAGCACAACACCACTCTATCATAACCAGCTCCCTCTTCACATCTGCACTCATTGCTTCACGCCTGGGCAGAAGACTTACACCATATATAATTGGAAGTGAGAAGGCTGGGGGGGGGATGTGAGGGGAGATAAGTATCTATTGGAACTACATTTCAGTGTAGGAAAATGCTAACTTCCAATACAACATTTTTACCTTCACTCACAAAATAGCTAGAATCCCACACTGAACTTGTGGAGGGCTGATAAAAAAAATGACCCCACTTTAAGAAGCACCTAAAGAGAGACCAGGAGGTGTTGAACCAAAAAAAAATATCACACCTCAGCAGGAGGCTGCACCACATCCGATCCAAGGATACTCTTCGCTCTTTTACGACAGTGTCGCAAACAAAAAAGCCAGAAAAACATGAAGGAATCCCACAATATGTATGACCAATGAATGGGACTCCTGGGTGTTAAGTGGCTAGGGTGCAACAGACCATAGTGTTAGTTTGATCTCATCCAATACCAGGTGGTATCTGGAATGGTACATCAGATCCACATTAGGTAGCGGATTACCTATCTCTTCACCTTGAAACGGGAATTGGTAGAGAAGACGAGCATCCATACCAAAACCTATATCCACTTGCGCGCATTTCCAACACAACAAACACCAGATCTACCAGGAACCAACATTCAGCAGGTGGTAGGAAGGTGGAAAGCCCTGGTGAAATGACAGCTCTGGTCCAAAATCCAACAGAAAAGGATATGGTACTACCAGTCTGCGGTAGGAGAAAGATATCCAGCCAAAAACAAGCGTAAAAACATGTGCTGCATCCAACTACAACCAACACCTGATTCACCAGGAACTAATATCCAGCAGATGATAGGAAGAGGGACTGCAAACCTGGGGTGTTTCTCCAGGCCAAAACCTAGTGGCAGTGGCCATTTGTCATTCAGTCCACAGTAGGAAGAGGAATACCAGATAGCACATGTAAGAACTTACTTAGCCGGTCATTTCCAACCAACTCCGGACTCACCGAGAATGTACATCCGGAGGATGATAGGGAGGAAAAACATCTCAGTGTGAGGGGCAAATTGCAATAATAGATATATGTATATATATTCGTGACATGGCAAAGTGCTTCAACCAAAACCTCGTAGCATCGGGAACTGTACATCAGATCTGCAATAGGAAAGGTGTCACGCCATCTACCCATGATTAGAATTGTGACCGGGCCATCTCCAACCAAAACCAGACCCACCAGGAATGTACATCCAGAGGATGGCAGGAAAAAAAACAATCGGTCAGATATAGGGCGTAATGCTACAAAAAACACCTGACAGCATCTGAAACTGTTTGTGAGGTCTGTCGTAGGAAGTGCGATATGCCAGTGACACTTGCAGAATGTCACTACCTTACTCTCAAATGAGTGATATTATTCATCACTCAGGAGGACAGGCAATACCCATTTTGAAAAGCAGAGTTACCACGTCCATAGAGTCAGTCAACCAAAACATGGCAGCATCTGGAATTGTACATCAGGTCCATGGTAGGAAGTCTCAATGCCACTGAGCATCAGAGATGGGCAGTAATCTCTGTCTGCTTTACTCATGTTAGTCCATGAGTGTACTATCTGGAACAAACATATTTATGAAGCAAAAACCTACTACCAGTCCTACTGAGCACCCCATCACTACTGTATGCATAACCCCAAACCTGCGACATAATAGTTGAATCATAGATGGAAATAAAATGGAGACACACAACCAACACTTGGCGGCATCTGGAATTGTACATCAGGCCTGCAGTAATTAGGTTACAACGTAACTAACAACGAGCATGGTCGCAGGATAGACAGTGCAGATTTTCAAAAAAATGTATACTTGGTCAGGCACCATTTGCCACAGAGTGGGATCCACAATACACAAGCAAAAAGGCCCCTGAAAAAGTAAGAAAAGTTTTTTAAAAAAGCAACTTTTCACAATACTAAAATGAAAAAAAAAAAACTGAATCAGTAGTATAATGGAAAACGTCGACAAATTCACAAGCGAAAACCAGCACATCTGTACATTACTACTGCCAATTGAGAAGAGGTTAACGAGTGCAGATGTGATGAGGGCGCTGGTTAAGATAGGAGTAGTGTCGCTCTCCTATTGATGGAGAGCTGCTGCATGATCATTCACATGTAGATATACAGAAGTGAGAGCTGTAAGGCTTGTGGTGTGCATTGAAAATTTGCACTGATAGAGGGCAGTGCTAGTTAAGAAAAACTATTTTCTCAGCAGAGGTAGGATATCGTGTTCAAACTTACTTACTTGGTATTGTTAATGTCAAGACTTGAATATTTCTTCTACAGAACAAGAAAAATAAAAGTCCAAAGGTAACCTTAATGAAATATACTATGGTCAATAAACATAAACAGATGTGTAAGTTTATGTATAATTTCCATGCATTACTTTTCAGCACAAACCAAGAAGGTTTTTTTATACCTAAACGTAGGGAATAAATTTAAATTTTGTAAAAAAAAGTTTCTCCCCATATTTTGCATGTATGATGTATCTACTGTTTCAGAATTGGAAATTACTTGAAACTTTTGAATTGGATAGAGAAGGTAAAGTGACTTAAAAAGAGGCAGAAAAGCTATACACTCAAAACATCTAAAGCAAATAACATTTTTTCTTTATAAGATAATCCAAATGGGATGGCCTAAGTGGATCAAAAGGTCCCTTGTTGTCCTTTAATGTTATGTTATTCATTCTAAATAGATATGGCTCTGTTTTTAAATTTTATATAAATCTACTAAAAACTGTATTTTTAATATTCCTTTGCCAAAGTTTAACATTTTCCTGAAAAATTCTGAATATATTAATTCTTACTCATCACTTAATGAATGGAGTTTTATAAATATTACTTACTTGTTCATTTTTAAATATTAACATATTAAATTACTTACAATAACTTTTGAACCCAGTTTCAAGCTCAACTTGAAGTAAATTACAATAAAATAAACTTTACAGTTATTCAAGCATTTGGTAATAACATAAAAGGTTCAAAGACTAAGAGCTAATCACATTACAAAGATTTGAATTGAATGACATTTAAATTAGGATGAAAATATAATTATACAATTTTGCATATATTGCAAAATACTAGCTCTATGCTGTTAAATTAATATAATAAATATCTTTACCTGGTCAGGACTAGCATGAATTAAGGGTGTGAACAACCTCGGTCAAACAATGTAGGGCTAAAGCTTTAGTGCTGGAAACTGTTGTATCATCAGATAAGTGATGGAAGAGTACTTCCAACGTTGCTGGGGTAACAGCTGACACAGCATTGTGCTAGAAACAACCATAATGATAAATTCTGTTTCCAGCAGCACTCAAAACGTTTTCCAAGATAATAAGGTATTTAAAATATATATAAACTATTCATAATACTTACTATATCCCAATTTACAACAAACTTAAGACTGTTGTAACAGTACTGAGTAGTTTATGTTGACATTATCAATTCCTATCTAATGGTGGCTTATGAATGTAAATACTACATTATTTATTATAAAATTGAAACTTATTTTTTACACATTAATGGTGGTCTTACCTACTTCAATATTTATCTAAAAATTTAAATTGTGAGTTTTTTAAGTTCCATGTTTATTATACCTATACACAGACATTACATCAGACTTGCTAATTAATACATTACTGTTGTTTATTAAGTTTGCAAAAAAGTTCTGCTGAAAATTACACACAATGCTGCATTTTCATTACTGTCATTATCTTAATAACCAAGCAAGTATTTGTGCTATACAATAATTCAATACAATTACTAGAAATTGTTTTCAAGATAGTGAAAGCCAGTATACTTGGATGTTTCAAATAATAGTCATTTGTACATAATCCTTTACACATACCTGTGCACCTGACATTATTGCACCCAGAAGGTGAAGCAATCTTTGTTGAAGCGATACTGGTAACTTGTCTTTAATTTGTTCAAATATATCTGCACACAGAAAAACAAATATTAATAAAATGATAAATAATTCAAAATATAATACAAAGTACTTGAGGAACTCAAAAAGCAATTTTAATACTTTTTATAATCACAATATTCCATTGCACTAAAAAGTTATAACTAACACTACAGAACTCTGAAAATAAAAAATCCCAAAAGATCATAAACAAAGCATATCTCTTAGACTAATCATTTCAGCATGTAATTCAACCAATTAAGAATTTTCAGGATTACTTCAAAAGGTTTTCACAACCTTTACTAGATTTTTATCCAATTCAATTCAAATAACATTGTTATAATGACTTTATAGAATGCTTAACATTAATCTACTACCTCTAAAAAAATTCTGTTTTTTAAATATTGATATTTATCTTAAAATGTGTTCATAAGCTGATGGTACAAAAAATCTTTGTAGACCTTATACAGAAGAAAATATATCTGGATCAAAATAATAATAATATAAATATTTTGTATTTATATTTATGCATTTATGGCAAAGCTACTAAGGCTATGTGCCACTTTCCCTAATCTTGAACTACTGAACCATAACCAGTCAGAAGCACTCTACCACCCACATTAGGAAGTGACAGTTAAAGTGTTGGGGGGATATTCTGTAGTATCACATGTATTAAAACTCAGGTTACCAGCTCTGAAGTTCAGTTATACCATAGGACCAACCTACACCCTAACATATATAAAACAATATATATAACACAAGCTTTATCAGAAATGAGCTAATAAATATGCTTAATAGCTAAACATACAATGATCATTCTCAAAAAAATAATTATGATTTAAAACAAGTTACTCTTACTTTGTTTGAAAACATCCATAAAGTTTTTAAATTTTGATGTACACTTTGCTACAGTACAATATTCATACAAAACACAATAGATCAGTGCACACTGTTTAAATCTAATGCTACATTATCACAATCAAATGTGTTATAATTTATTATAGAGAAAGAATTCACACATACACACACACTATTACAATAATATTCAAATTGCATTACTGTACAACAATTTTGAAAATCTGTCAAAACATCAAATACAGTAAAAATGTTTTTGAAAAAACATAATATACGGAGCAGTCACTGTTATACTCAGAAGTAATATACACACGATGGTTGTGTACTATAATGATATACAATCAAAACTATTACGGATAAGACACGACAGTAAGTTATATTACACAATATTACTGCAAGTTTATGCACTATAATTAAATGTAATTATCCTTGTATGCATATATCTGTGTGTGCATAATTTGGGACTGTAAAATGTAATGAATATAGGTACAAAACTAATAAATATATATATCCTAATGTACTTAATGGTTTGTATTTATTGTATTATCAGTGTTTTTTGAAATTAAATTTATATTTAGAAATGTACATAATTTATGCTGTTAAATCTGTATTAGGAAATTCCTGCCTATTCTCTAAAGTTGTAGAAGATTTTCAAGTATAAGAATCAACAATACATGTGTGTACATAAACACTAGTGAATCATCAGTATTGTTACATAAGCTGAAATTTTGAAAAACTTTCCATATGCCTATAAATATAACCAACGCACCATGCCAAAAACAATATCTATTATTGGTTTGGTGTTGGTATACTATAAACTATAGAAGCTATAACGGTGATTGTTATAATGATTATTAATCGGGGAACTTCAGATATTTGACCAGGAACATTTATAAATTTCAAACATTACAAAC